TATATATATATATATATATATATATATATATATATATATATATATATATATATATATATATATATATATATATATATATATATATATATATATATATATATATATATATATATATATATATATATATATATATATATATATATATATATATATATATGTATATATATATATATATATATATATATATGCCCTGTCCTGTGCTTGGTAAGTACTATCCTTGACCTCTCGTCTCTTGACATTGTCACATGAATTACAAATGATTGACAGTGGATTGACAGTGGATTGACAGTGTGTGCCAGAGTTCGTCCAATGGGGAAGTGATTTCCTTGCTCGAGACTCGTGACTCCGTGGGATGACGTCAACTGCTGGGGGAATACAGCCCAAAGGTTTAGGTCAAGTTTTCATAAACTTAAGTCAACTTTCATAAACATAAGTCAACTTCCAAAAGTATAAGTCAACGTTCATAAACATAAGTCACTTAAAATCAAAAGTAAGTCTACTTTCAAAAACGTAAATCCCCCTTCGAATGGCCGTTTTCTCTAGACAGGAGTCAAATGTTCAGATCTTTCTTTCTTCGTGTTCTATTTTAAAATTTCATCAACATTAAATTTAGAATTGAAAGGGGCAGGAGTGCTTGTATAGAATCACGTGTTTTGATGTCGTAATGAAGGGACAAGGTCTGCGGGTTAATACAGCTTGTCTAATGTTGGATGGGCTGTACGACAGGCTGTATTATGTCGTCCGATGTTGGATGGGCTGTACATAGACCGTCCGACAGGCTGTGATATTTTGGAGACACGAGTGTTTGATTGCCCACCCTGCTTTACCCCCCCCCCCCCGTGCCTTACCTCACCCTGCCTTACCCCACCCTGCCTTACCCCACCCTGCCTTACCCCACCCTGCCTTACCTCACCCTGCCTTACCTCACCCTGCCTTACCCCACCCTGCCTTACCCCACCCTGCCTTACCCCACCCTGCCTTACCCCACCCTGCCTTACCTCACCCTGCCTTACCTCACCCTGCCTTACCTCACCCTGCCTTACCCCACCCTGCCTTACCCCACCCTGCCTTACCCCACCCTGCCTTACCTCACCCTGCCTTACCTCACCCTGCCTTACCCCACCCTGCCTTACCTCACCCTGCCTTACCCCACCCTGCCTTACCCCACCCTGCCTTACCTCACCCTGCCTTACCCCACCCTGCCTTACCCCACCCTGCCTTACCCCACCCTGCCTTACCCCACCCTGCCTTACCCCACCCTGCCTTACCTCCCCCCCCCCCGTGCCTTACCCCACCCTGCCTTACCCCACCCTGCCTTACCCCACCCTGCCTTAATCTACGGACCAAGTAGCCTAATGTCACTAAGACCTAGAGATCTCGCTGTGTTATCTATTTTTATCTACTATTTGATCGATTATTGATAGATCACATTAAATGTGATTGGAAGAATTACATAACTGGCATTTTTACGTATTTTAAACTCTCATGCACTGTTAATTACAGCCCAATAGATGCCCCCCCCCCCCCCCACTCCACCCCTATCATCTGTTCCTGTAACATCGACTTTTATCTTTGTTCTGTGTGCTGTACTCTGGCTCAGGTTTTAATGTGATACAAACACGTTTCCACGTTTCATGACAGCAGTACACATATTCAGTCAGGAACTTCAGTTGCTATTTTTAGCATCGAGATAAAAGTACCAAATATTTTCGTTTGAATATATCAAAAGTATACAAATAGATTTTATATCCGTATATTGAACTTTTAAAACAAAGTGGGAACTGTCCATTTATATTGCTATAGTAATCATCGTGTATATTCCGATCATTAAATTAATTCATATCTACTATACTGCGCAGAAATTAAATCCAAATCTTTTTTTCATGGGTGCTTTAAGACGGCTTGGTGTTTTTATTTCAAATCCAAGCTAATTTCAAAGTTAATTTCTATTGTATTCTATACGTGAACTGTTAATTTTTGTTGTTATAAAGTTCGTGAACTGTTAATTTTTGTTGTTATAAAGTTCGTGAACTGTTAATTTTTGTTGTTATAAAGTGCGTGAACTGTTAATTTTTGTTGTTATAAAGTACGTGAACTGTTAATTTTTGTTGTTATAAAGTACGTGAACTGTTAATTTTTGTTGTTATAAAGTGCGTGAACTGTTAACTTTTGTTGTTATAAAGTACGTGAACTGTTAATTTTTGTTGTTATAAAGTACGTGAGCTGTTAATTTTTGTTGTTATAAAGTACGTGAACTGTTAATTTTTGTTGTTATAAAGTACGTGAACTGTTAATTTTTGTTGTTATAAAGTGCGTGAACTGTTAATTTTTGTTGTTATAAAGTACGTGAACTGTTAATTTTTGTTGTTATAAAGTACGTGAACTGTTAATTTTTGTTGTTATAAAGTGCGTGAACTGTTAACTTTTGTTGTTATAAAGTACGTGAACTGTTAATTTTTGTTGTTATAAAGTGCGTGAACTGTTAACTTTTGTTGTTATAAAGTACGTGAACTGTTAATTTTTGTTGTTATAAAGTGCGTGAACTGTTAACTTTTGTTGTTATAAAGTTCGTGAACTGTTAATTTTTGTTGTTATAAAGTGCGTGAACTGTTAATTTTTGTTGTTATAAAGTGCGTGAACTGTTAATTTTTGTTGTTATAAAGTGCGTGAACTGTTAATTTTTGTTGTTATAAAGTACGTGAACTGTTAATTTTTGTTGTTATAAAGTACGTGAACTGTTAATTTTTGTAGTTATAAAGTGCGTGAACTGTTAATTTTTGTTGTTATAAAGTGCGTGAACTGTTAATTTTTGTTGTTATAGAGTACGTGAACTGAAGTACGTAAACCGTTAACTGCGGAGTATGTTGAGGACATGTTACGTAATGGGGTAGAGAGCGGTAGAGAGCGGTAGAGAGCGGTAGAGAGCGGTAGAGAGCGGTAGAGAGCGGTAGAGAGCGGTAGAGAGCGGTAGAGAGCGGTAGAGAGCGGTAGAGAGCGGTAGAGAGCGGTAGAGAGCGGTAGAGAGCGGAAGAGAGCGCATCCAGTAACCCAGTAATCAGACACAGGAAGCAAGACGTGACGGGTGAATCACTCCACGGCTGGTGGGGCTTGAGGTCACGCTTGTCTGACCTACAGGTGCACGGGTTCACACTGGGGTGCACAACTTATAGCTTGCACTTTTTATTGGTGTATATATATATATATATATATATATATATATATATATATATATATATATATATATATATATATATATATATATATATATATATATATATATATATATATATATATATATATATATATATATATCTTATATATATATATATAAATATATAAATATATAAATGTATAAATATACATAATATATATATATATATATATATATATATATATATATATATATATATATATATATATATATATTCTTAATTTGAGTTCTTTATTAATGTACTTCTTTATTCTTTGTTAGTTGTTTAAAATATCCGAAGTAAATATTCCGCTGGCCATGACGTGGTGCTATTTTTAGACTATAGAATACAAGAATCAACAAAGAAGGCGCTGATAAAAGAATACATTCAGGTAGCGACACAAGACTTGTGTAGGGGTCGGTTAAAACCCAGCTGTTATGTAACACGTTACAACATGGCTGTTATGTAACACGTTACAACACGGCTGTTTGATAGACATGGGCTGTATAGACCATCTTATAACATGGGCTGTATAGACCATCTTATAACATGGGCTGTATAGACCATCTTATAACATGGGCTGTATAGACCATCTTATAACATAGGCTGTATAGACCATCTTATAACATGGGCTGTATAGACCATCTTATAACATGGGCTGTATAGACCATCTTATAACATGGGCTGTATAGACCATCTTATAACATGGGCTGTATAGACCATCTTATAACATGGGCTGTATAGACCATCTTATAACATGGGCTGTATAGACCATCTTATAACATGGGCTGTATAGACCATCTTATAACATCAACTGTATAGACTATAGACCATCTTATAACATGGGCTGTATAGACCATCTTATAACATGGGCTGTATAGACCATCTTATAACATGGGCTGTATAGACCATCTTATAACATGGGCTGTATAGACCATCTTATAACATGGGCTGTATAGACCATCTTATAACATGGGCTGTATAGACCATCTTATAACATAGGCTGTATAGACCATCTTATAACATGGGCTGTATAGACCATCTTATAACATAGGCTGTATAGACCATCTTATAACATGGGCTGTATAGACCATCTTATAACATGGGCTGTATAGACCATCTTATAACATGGAATGTATGCAAGTTATCGACATGTATCTGTATTTGTACGCCTGCATTTGTTATGATATTACAATGCTATGTGACCAGTATTGTAAAAGCCTCGAAAATTGTTGCTGTCATTTTGTTTGGTAGAATAGCTGAAGTAGAAATAACCTCGGTATATGAAGGTGAAATTGTCAGCCTTATATCCCCAAACGTGAGTCAGGTTCCCATACGGACTGGGTGGATTCAGGTACGTTAAACGGGCTCGTGCGATCTCGAGACTTTCAGGTAAGCAAATGTACGCGCTATCACCCGACCATGCCGCCTCCTTTACTATGTTGTAGAAAGAAAAAAAAAACCAATGTTGCGTGTAAATTTGTAGTAAATTGTAGAACTTATCAGCATATCAGTTTGACAAGAGTCATCGCCCCTCGCTGACCTCTTGACCCCATGATGCCGCCGAGTTAGTCTTCCAGTTCATTTCTGTATGCCTTAAAATAGCAAGGTCATTGCTGGTGATTCACGCTTGAGGTCAAGCAAATACGGGCGCCATTTGTTAGAAGTTTCTTCTGAGTTATCTGCCCCAGTAGTCTGTTGGATGACCTTCTGAATTCAGTGAGTCATGTCTCTTCTCACCTGTCCTGTCATGTCTCTTCTCACCTGTCCCGTCATGTCTCTTCTCACCTGTGTCCGTCATGTCTCTTCTCACCTGTGTCCGTCATGTCTCTTCTCACCTGTCTCGTCATGTCTCTTCTCACCTGTCCCGTCATGTCTCTTCTCACCTGTCCCGTCATGTCTCTTCTCACCTGTCCCGTCATGTCTCTTCTCACCTGTCTCGTCATGTCTCTTCTCATCTGTCTCGTCATGTCTCTTCTCACCTGTCACGTCATGTCTCTTCTCACCTGTCCCGTCATGTCTCTTCTCACCTGTCTCGTCATGTCTCTTCTCACCTGTCCTGTCATGTCTCTTCTCACCTGTCCCGTCATGTCTCTTCTCACCTGTCTCGTCATGTCTCTTCTCACCTGTCCCGTCATGTCTCTTCTCACCTGTCTCGTCATGTCTCTTCTCACCTGTGTCCGTCATGTCTCTTCTCACCTGTCACGTCATGTCTCTTCTCACCTGTCCCGTCATGTCTCTTCTCACCTGTCCCGTCATGTCTCTTCTCACCTGTCCCGTCATGTCTCTTCTCACCTGTCCCGTCATGTCTCTTCTCACCTGTCTCGTCATGTCTCTTCTCACCTGTCTCGTCATGTCTCTTCTCACCTGTCTCGTCATGTCTCTTCTCACCTGTCCCGTCATGTCTCTTCTCACCTGTCTCGTCATGTCTCTTCTCACCTGTCCCGTCATGTCTCTTCTCACCTGTCCCGTCATGTCTCTTCTCACCTGTCCCGTCATGTCTCTTCTCACCTGTGTCCGTCATGTCTCTTCTCATCTGTCTCGTCATGTCTCTTCTCATCTGTCTCGTCATGTCTCTTCTCACCTGTCTCGTCATGTCTCTTCTCATCTGTCTCGTCATGTCTCTTCTCATCTGTCTCGTCATGTCTCTTCTCATCTGTCTCGTCATGTCTCTTCTCATCTGTGTCGTCATGTCTCTTCTCACCTGTCCCGTCATGTCTCTTCTCACCTGTCTCGTCATGTCTCTTCTCATCTGTCTCGTCATGTCTCTTCTCATCTGTCTCGTCATGTCTCTTCTCACCTGTCCCGCCATGTCTCTTCTCACCTGTGTCCGTCATGTCTCTTCTCATCAGTGTCGTCATGTCTCTTCTCACCTGTCCCGTCATGTCTCTTCTCACCTGTCCCGTCATGTCTCTTCTCACCTGTCCCGTCATATCTCTTCTCACCTGTCCCGTCATGTCTCTTCTCACCTGTCCCGTCATGTCTCTTCTCACCTGTCCCGTCATGTCTCTTCTCACCTGTGTCCGTCATGTCTCTTCTCACCTGTGTCCGTCATGTCTCTTCTCATCTGTCTCGTCATGTCTCTTCTCACCTGTCCCGTCATGTCTCTTCTCACCTGTCTCGTCATGTCTCTTCTCACCTGTGTCCGTCATGTCTCTTCTCACCTGTGTCCGTCATGTCTCTTCTCATCTGTCTCGTCATGTCTCTTCTCACCTGTCCCGTCATGTCTCTTCTCACCTGTCCCGTCATGTCTCTTCTCACCTGTCTCGTCATGTCTCTTCTCACCTGTCCCGTCATGTCTCTTCTCTTCTCACCTGTGTCCGTCATGTCTCTTCTCACCTGTCCCGTCATGTCTCTTCTCACCTGTCACGTCATGTCTCTTCTCACCTGTCACGTCATGTCTCTTCTCACCTGTCCCGTCATGTCTCTTCTCACCTGTCTCGTCATGACTCTTCTCACCTGTCCCGTCACGTCTCTTCTCACCTGTCTCGTCATGTCTCTTCTCACCTGTGTCCGTCATGTCTCTTCTCACCTGTGTCCGTCATGTCTCTTCTCATCTGTCTCGTCATGTCTCTTCTCACCTGTCCCGTCATGTCTCTTCTCACCTGTCCCGTCATGTCTCTTCTCACCTGTCTCGTCATGTCTCTTCTCACCTGTCACGTCATGTCTCTTCTCACCTGTCCCGTCATGTCTCTTCTCTTCTCACCTGTGTCCGTCATGTCTCTTCTCACCTGTCCCGTCATGTCTCTTCTCACCTGTCTCGTCATGTCTCTTCTCACCTGTAACGTCATGTCTCTTCTCACCTGTCACGTCATGTCTCTTCTCACCTGTCCCGTCATGTCTCTTCTCACCTGTCCCGTCATGTCTCTTCTCACCTGTCCCGTCATGTCTCTTCTCACCTGTCCCGTCATGTCTCTTCTCACCTGTCCCGTCATGTCTCTTCTCACCTGTCTCGTCATGTCTCTTCTCACCTGTCCCGTCATGTCTCTTCTCACCTGTCCCGTCATGTCTCTTCTCACCTGTGTCCGTCATGTCTCTTCTCACCTGTGTCCGTCATGTCTCTTCTCACCTGTGTCCGTCATGTCTCTTCTCACCTGTCCCGTCATGTCTCTTCTCACCTGTCTCGTCATGTCTCTTCTCACCTTTGTCCGTCATGTCTCTTCTCACCTGTCTCGTCATGTCTCTTCTCACCTGTGTCCGTCATGTCTCTTCTCACCTGTCTCGTCATGTCTCTTCTCACCTGTCTCGTCATGTCTCTTCTCACCTGTCCCGTCATGTCTCTTCTCACCTGTCTCGTCATGTCTCTTCTCACCTGTCCCGTCATGTCTCTTCTCACCTGTCTCGTCATGTCTCTTCTCACCTGTGTCCGTCATGTCTCTTCTCACCTGTCTCGTCATGTCTCTTCTTATCTGTCTCGTCATGTCTCTTCTCACCTGTCCCGTCATGTCTCTTCTCACTTGTGTCCGTCATGTCTCTTCTCACCTGTCTCGTCATGTCTCTTCTCATCTGTCTCGTCATGTCTCTTCTCACCTGTCTCGTCATGTCTCTTCTCACCTGTCTCGTCATGTCCCTGGTTTTAGACGCCCAGTAAAAAGTAAACATTTGAGTGACCCAGTAAAAAGTAAACATTTGAGTGACCCAGTAAAAAGTAAACATTTGAGTGACCCAGTAAAAAGTAAACATTTGAGTGACCCAGTAAAAAGTAAACATTTGAGTGACCCAGTAAAAGTAAACATTTGAGAGACCCAGTAAAAAGTAAACATTTGAGTGACCCAGTAAAAGTAAACATTTGAGAGACCCAGTAAAAAGTAAACATTTGAGAGACCCAGTAAAAAGTAAACATTTGAGTGACCCAGTAAAAAGTAAACATTTGAGAGACCCAGTAAAAAGTAAACATTTGAGTGACCCAGTAAAAAGTAAACATTTGAGAGACCCAGTAAAAAGTAAACATTTGAGAGACCCAGTAAAAAGTAAACATTTGAGAGACCCAGTAAAAAGTAAACATTTGAGAGACCCAGTAAAAAGTAAACATTTGAGAGACCAATGTTATTTGTTTGTTACACATGTTAAAGACACCAGTGGCGTAGGCAGGGGGGGTTAGGGGGTCATAATCCCCCCCATAGACCCCTCGGTATATATAAAAAGTATGAGGGGGGGTGCAAATCGAAAGTTTGTCCCCGGGTAAAAATTGGGAACCCCCCCCCCTTGAGACGATCCTGGCTACGCCACTGAAAGACACGTGCTCTAACTTTTTGACTGACTAAAGCTTTAGCAAGAGACAAGGTCAAACTGCTTTCAATTGGTTGTAATGTAGTTGTGGAATGAATTAATGTAATAATGCCAACAGCAGACACTACGACAATGGGAGTAGAGAGAACATCATTGCCAGTGGCGTAGGCAGGGGGGGTTAGGGGGGGGGGGGGTCATACCCCCCCCCCACATAGACCCCTCGGTATATATATAAAAAGTATGAGGGGGGGGGGGTGCAAATCGAATGTAAAACTTGGACCCCCCCCCCCTCTTGAGACGATCTTGGCTACGCCACTGATCATTGCTGTAAGTAGACTGACGAACTTACTAAGTTACATTACACTTGCTATATTTACATATCAATTTATATATATATATATATATATATATATATATATATATATATATATATATATATATATATATATATATATATAAGGCACCACTTCCTTCACCCTGACGTCACCATTTATTTTCTATTTTCTTCAGTGATAAAACGGATATTGATGTCTCATTTTAAAATCCTAGGCCCTAATTAATGGTTTGTTTACATTCTATTTATAGCACCAATTAGATCGTAATAACAGAAGCTGATTTCTTCTGATTATTTGTATGGAAATGTCATGGTGCTGTTTGATTAGATAACAATAGATTTCAAAGTTGCCCTCATTCTTTGAGCTTTTTAAATAGGTTGACGGTAGAAGTTGGTTGACGCGAGCAGTAGAGGTTGTCAGAGGGTTGACGCTACCATCAGAGGGTTGACGCTACCATCAGAGGGTTGACGCTACCATCAGAGGGTTGACGCTACCATCAGAGGGTTGACGCTACCATCAGAGGGTTGACGCTACCATCAGAGGGTTGACGCTACCATCAGAGGGTTGACGCTACCATCAGAGGGTTGACGCTACCATCAGAGGGTTGACGCTACCATCAGAGGGTTGACGCTACCATCAGAGGGTTGACGCTACCATCAGAGGGTTGACGCTACCGTCAGAGGGTTGACGCTACCGTCAGAGGGTTGACGCGACCATCAGAGGGTTGACGCTACCATCAGAGGGTTGACGCTACCATCAGAGGGTTGACGCTACCATCAGAGGGTTGACGCGACCATCAGAGGGTTGACGCGACCATCAGAGGGTTGACGCGACCATCAGAGGGTTGACGCGACCATCAGAGGGTTGACGCTACCATCAGAGGGTTGACGCTACCATCAGAGGGTTGACGCTACCATCAGAAGGTTGACGCTACCATCAGAGGGTTGACGATACCATCAGAGGGTTGACGCTACCATCAGAGGGTTGACGCGACCATCAGAGGGTTGACGCGACCATCAGAGGGTTGACGCGACCATCAGAGGGTTGACGCTACCATCAGAGGGTTGACGCTACCATCAGAGGGTTGACGCTACCATCAGAGGGTTGACGCTACCATCAGAGGGTTGACGCTACCATCAGAGGGTTGACGCGACCATCAGAGGGTTGACGCTACCATCAGAGGGTTGACGCTACCATCAGAGGGTTGACGCTACCATCAGAGGGTTGACGCGACCATCAGAGGGTTGACGCTACCATCAGAGGGTTGACGCTACCATCAGAGGGTTGACGCTACCATCAGAGGGTTGACGCGACCATCAGAGGGTTGACGCGACCATCAGAGGGTTGACGCGACCATCAGAGGGTTGACGCTACCATCAGAGGGTTGACGCTACCATCAGAGGGTTGACGCTACCATCAGAGGGTTGACGCTACCATCAGAGGGTTGACGCGACCATCAGAGGGTTGACGCGACCATCAGAGGGTTGACGCTACCATCAGAGGGTTGACGCGACCATCAGAGGTTTGACGCTACCATCAGAGGGTTGACGCGACCATCAGAGGGTTGACGCGACCATCAGAGGGTTGACGCTACCATCAGAGGGTTGACGCTACCATCAGAGG